TTGTGCAAAAATTATTAGAAATCTCTATTCTATTGCGCTGTGACAACATAGGTACCTACTGTATTGATTTGAGTTTTAAATTAGTATTCATCATCTTATAATCTATAAATCATGGTTTGAATTATTGTTGTATTTATATACCTACGTAATATAATGTAAATTTAAAATACGAATATGGTTACGATGATATGTCATTATGTAATGATTTCTGTCGTCTTACTCATATTGTATTAGGTGGAAACAATTTTAGATGTGATTTTTGAGAGTAACGAGAAATTTATATCAATCTGCCTAATTTTCGCATCCTTTTCAAACATTTGAAAGGTACTTAAATCAAAATGAAACAGTGCATTCTGTAAATTTCTTCACACGCTTTTGATTTTTAAAAATTAAAACACTAGGTACACTAACTCTTTGTTGATCCAGTTTTATTGTACTTAACTAAAAAAAAGTGATTTTAACGAATTCTATAGTGATTATTAATGCAACTTGGTCGTTGCTAAGGGCAGTAAGAGGTGCTAAGCGTCTTCAAATATTTTGTTAGCACCCCAAATGAATTGATTAATTATGTACTTTTAAGTTATACTACTGAACATATTAGTTTGCAAAATGTAAGTAATAAAAAAACAGTTACAGACTGCTTAACACAATGACGATTTTCAAACTTATCACTGTTAAGTATTGAAAACGATTTAAAAAATCAATTCAAGACTGAAGATATTATTAATACATTTGCGACTGAAGACAAGACAAAAGCCTTAATACTAATAAGTAATTACTTTCTATTAATCTTTTATTTTATTACTTAATATTTTATTGATTATTATTATTATTATTACTATTTACTACTATTATTAAAAATATAGTGATTAAAGGAAGAATGTAATTTGGATCGTGAGATCATTGTATAATTTAAGTTAAGTCAAAATTTAAAGCCTATATAGTTGCGCATATGATAATGACATATTTATTTATATTTTTAAAAAAGCCCAATTAAGTGACATCTATATCTACATACTCAATGGCAAATCTATAGCTCGAATCAGATTTATTGTATTTTATAATCCAAACTAGTTTCGTCCATTGACCTCTAGAGTCTAGATAAACTAATTGCTGCGGCTCACGGTTATCTACAATTTTTGTGACATAAAATACATTTTTGGAAATATCGCTTTAATAAACTACATCATCCCCACCAGTTGCGTACTCAGTTTTTTTTAAATGGAGGCGATATGAATTTCTCACTATTCACAAACCACGTTATAATATATACATTCATTGCTTCATAATATATTTTATATGACAAAAATAAGCCAGGGGGGAATATGACACCCTCAACTCCAAAGTGAGCACGCCTCTGATTCTCACCAATTAGGTATATCTTCTTTAAACTCGACAGGTATAATTGAAAATTGTTGTAATTTTATGGGCATAGGCATTACAGACCAGACTCTGAGCCCAAATTAACGATCTAATAATATAATAATTCTAAATTCTAATATTATATTATAAGTAGTTTTATTTTTGTCAAGTTTCATGACTTATTACATTTTTTTCTTTAAATGTCAATCTCAGTAATTTTGTGAAGTATGGCATCTTGCCATTTACAATACCCTATTTTTATTTCTTTACATATATTATATTATAGTTTTTTTTAAATTTATATTGGCAATACATTTATTGAAGAAATGCCAAGTTTGTTTTAAGAGTTTCAATTATAAATTAAATCCATCAAAAATAAAATATTACTTAAATATTATTCAAGTATTCTTACCTTAGGAAGATTAATTATCTACCATTATTTTTATTATTAGCTTACATCGCTACATTATATTCGTAGTACATAATTAATATACTTTAAAAATCATAAGTATGTAAAATAACGATTTTCATTTTCGGCGTTATAATTTATAATATATAGGTAGAATAGAATAGATAAGTAGTTTAGTATAATGGATTGATAAGTAGTCGACTGCATAAACGATAGAGAGAAAATTTTTTTAGTGCATTAACACGGCTGTGAATTATTTAATGTATCTCAAAATTCAGAATCAAACAATACTATAGTTTGACTATACGTCTATACAGTAGACATATTTATGATTTACCGGCTACAGAAGTAGCCCAGTAGGTATAGACACAACTACGGCCTATGGATACTAAATTCTGAGGCCTATATTATGTAATGTTTGACTGTTATGAGTTAGACAAGATAGTTTGCTGTATAAATGTTGCTAATCAATACACAATATTACAATGACAATGATTTGTAAAAATATAAGTTACAAGATAATAAATATACTTATTATAGGTAGGTAAAGGAGGACAAAGGAGTACCATTGCCAAGGAAATTGCTTAGGAATTTGGGGGCAGTGGCATCATAGGTGCAATTTAAATTTTTCCTTCGAGGGGGGTTGAACAAATCATGTCGAACAAATTCCACGCCTATCTTTAGCTTGCCTAAAAAATTGTTTTTAGGTTTTACAAAACATTGTATTGATGTATTGTTATTATACTCAGGCTTGTCTTGAGAGGAGATATATAGGAGTTGTCTTCCCACACACCTATCAACAACAAAATATATTACCAAATAATAAACGATAAGAAAAAAGTGGTACCTACCTATCTGGCTAAAATCTTAAAGAAAGATATTGTTATTGGATGTTACCGCGAATTAAGATAATAGAATATTGAGATTTGAGAGTACCTATGTCAGTGTATTCGGCACGTACCTATATTTTTAATTTTGTTTTCTATTTGACATATTGACGAGCGTCACGTATCATACAAAAATTGTGTTTGATCTCATATTGTTAAGTTTAATATTAGACCTTCAATATATTTACCTATTATCAAACTTAAAGTTAAGAAGTAATAGCAGTATCTATGTTTATATGTAGGTGGCTTGGCGCTTTTACAATATTTAAATTTGAATAGGATATAATGATCATTTTTGAATGGTAATATCTTACATATTCATAACTGGCATAAAAATGTTAATGTTGTAAAAAAGCCAAAGTACGGACACGGATAATGTTCTTATTTTTAAGTTTGGTAATAGGTCAATTCTTTCTAATATTAAAGCTTACAACAGAAGATTGGTTCTGCAGAACGCAAATTTGCTTAGTATTGCAGCGCGCTGTGGTTCAGAGAAAAAAATAGTTCGCTGACATCCAATCGCATACATATTTTTAATGACAAATCTAAATGACCAAACCGCAATGTGTTTATGTAAATCAGCTGTAGTTGAGGTTAGTAAGATTTCCGTGATGTTGAATTTTTTTTTAAATGTCTACCTTTTATTCATAATAAAATTCCTAAATAATTAGGCAATTATTTTATGACTAGAAACTTAAAGATTCTACATGTATACATCAAATGTTTATTGTTTGTTAGTTTTTACTTCTTGCAAACCTTTTTTTAACTAAATAATTGCCTGATTGACACATTATTTTGAGGAGAGTAGTAATAAGAGTGACATAAAAGCCTAGGGCATGAAGATTCTAAATATTACCTACTCTGTTTATTTTACATAGGTACAATGTACACCTTATACCTGGCTATGGTAAATGGTAATATAAAGTACCTATATAATAATACTACAATAAGTAATATAAATAAGAGTATAGGTAAGACTTCATCTATCTTAGACTTCATACAACACATTACAATGATTGTAGACTGTAGCGTTCATCTTCATCAATAAATACTATATCTAACTGTGAAACGGATACACTCAATTTATATTAATTTAATTTATCTGTTTGTCAATAAATTGGTTCTTGTTAGTAAGTGTAAACATATCATAATAAATTCATAATAGACATATTATTTACGTGTGTGTAGTGAACATCGGTACTTTACATATAATATATTACGCATAGTATTTTAAAACGCAAATTAATTTCCATTACTTCATTAATATTTACATCCCTAGTTTCAATAAAAAAAATTATCAACGTTGGGTGATGGAAAAAAATAATACTTAATATTTAATTAGTAAGTATCTTTACTGATCGCTGTGGATACTAACAAATACTATATAATGGATGTAATACTTTCGATTTGTGGATCTCGGAGCAAACGTATTGAATTATTGTAAACCCTGTAAATATAATATTATAGGTACCTAATTTTTACGTTTAATCGTTTTTGGTAGACTTTTGATGAATTTCACTAGGAAATAATAAAAATATGAAATCACCTTAATGTATTTAGGTATAGCCATACATGTACAGAATATACTATCTGTAATCAATATATACTATATTCTAATCGACTGAATGAGGATCATTTTGCTGCTGCCTTTCGAAGTATGATTTATTTGTTTATTTATTTATATATTTCTATATGACTATATTATCTATACCAACTTAAATAACATTGAATTAAGAAACTAGGATAAATCAATCTACCGGAATAAACGAATAAAAACTTTTTAACAATGCAATCGTTGCAATTTATTAATAACATACTATATAGGTTACATATAATATATTAAAATACTTTATTCTATAGTGGCGTAATTGCGGGGTGGCAAGGGTGAGCATTTGCCCCACAGGCATTTTACTGTGGGCAACATATTATTTGACCCCCCCTTATATTACATTACAAACTTTTGAATTTTTATAATTCAACTAGTACCTACTTAAAATATTATATATATATATAGCATTAGTCTCACATAGTTGCATGATTAAAAATATCATTTAAAATCATATTAATTATTGTATATCGTTGTATTTTATGCGCAGTCCGGGCAGACTTCCTATTTGTTTATCTGCGAGTTTAATTTTATATTAAACTATAAGCGTTTTTTCTTATAAAATATAATATTATTATTATAGTATATATTCAATATATTAAGATACTACAATACTGAATATATGTGGTTAGTCTTAAATAGGTTAATATGCTATTTTTTCATAAATAAGCTATTATGGATATTTTTTTATATTTTTTTTACTATTATTAAAGTTTTAAGTTGTATATTTAGGTCATAACTTCATAACTTATCTGTTATGGAATTTTCATATCCACGATGTACATAAAAAAGTAATGAATTTTTTTCTTTTTTTTTGGAGGTAGTTGTTGAACATACATTTTTTTTTGGCCTTCCATTTCTCCACAATTACACCACTGCTGAATACAGTTAAACATTTGAGTTAAAAAATGATTTGTGTTTATCACTAATCATAGGTAGTAACAATTTTAAAAACCTAACATCTGTTTAACTATTAATAGGGTTGGTATTGTAGAATTTGTAACAATTATTGAATTATGTATCAATTCAAATATTACTTACAACAAATAAAAATAATAGTAATAATAATTATAACAATTATAATAATAATTGGGGAAGGCATATTGCTAACAGTTAAAATTTGTAATAACCACAAACAGATATATATATATCATACTATACACAATACAATATAAACAAGATTACGTAGAGATCTACAACATATAATATTTAATCCTGATCTTAACCATGAACAATTTGGTGTTCATAAATCGTCTGAATAGTGATAATTAATTAATGATAAGATATTAGTATGTTTTGTTTACACACTTTATCAAATTCATTAGGTACCCACAACTCTTTGATAGTATTATTAACTTATTAACTAGATAACGAATATCAACAACAATTTAACAAATTATGACGAACACAATATTTACATAACAAGTTGTAAATAATGGTTGTTAATATTATGAAAGGACTTTTTCCAAACAAAATATTACAAACAGAACACAGATTCACTAAAATAACACTTCATATCCTTCTTTAAATTTTTACTATTTTTCCGTTATGATTTTACTAAATACAAAATATAATGAATAAAAGCTCGTCACTATACGATTGTATTACTGTACAATGATTGTCACTAGTCACTACTAACTGTAATAATAACAAACATAAATAATATATAAATAATATATTATGCACTTATTTAAGTAGATATAATTATACTGATATATAAAAAGCTGTTAGGTATCTACGCAAAAAAATATACGTAATGTAATCAAATGAGCAAATAGGAAACCTACAGTAGGTATGCTGCAGTCTGCAGATACTATGTAGATTGTAATCAAAAATGAAAATCACTAATTTGGTAACAACAAATTATCGTTAGAGCCCCAACAAGAACAACACGATCGACATGTAATTGAATTTGGCAATGGAAACGCTGACGCAAAGACCATTGAATAATTTTCGATAGGTAGTTCCGAAATGAAGCTGTACAATGAGCTATAAAACGAATCATACAAAATATTATTATTATATTATATTAATACGACGTTGTCGCCATCATTGGCATCTGCCATCTTAAGTTAGCAAAAATGCATTTTATAGAATAAACTTACCAAGGTCAGATATATAGTCTATTTATTGACGTAAAAAAAAATGATTGAAACTGTGTGTAGTAATTATCACTCATTCATAAGTAGCGTAATATAATCTTATTTAAAACGTTATTATTAGTTATTTAATAAACATTGTTTGATAACAGAAAGGTTACTTAACAACAATTTGATAACTCCCATCGATTTTTATTATTTTCAATTTTGCTTAAAACACCGGTGTGACGGCAACACTGTATTCTGTAAACGTTGTCAACGCATTTTCGAATTCGAATCCCCTTTCTTTTTAAGTTTCATCTAGGTACTTTAAAGAGTACGACTACCGAGATGAGTTAACAGGGTGGTTTAGAATAACTAAATAAACCTATGTCTGATGTAGTGATGTATTCTCAAATACTCAGGATACTAGTATAGAGTACTATATAGTACTTATTATAATCTAAAGTCAATAGTCGCTGAAGTCTAAGTGTCATAGACGTTAGAATTTAGGAGAGTAACTAGAAGTTTTATGGGGGGAGGGATTTACGCCAATTTCAAATTTTGTTAAGGCCTAATATGTTTGTTAGCTATTGACGGGGGTGTAGAGGGAATTTCCCCCGGCCCCCTTGTCTACGCCCTTGATAGAATTTATTAAATATTAAATTAAAATTCTCAACAACCACTGGGAAAAGAGTGGTTTTACAGTGTAATATTATGTCGATAGACGTTTTAACAGCTTAAATACCATACAACTTAATCAAATATAAAAATAGAATAAAAATATAATCAATATTTTTAGAAATTATAATCACTTAATATATAGCATACCTACTAAGATTAATCTAGGTACTAATGTTTTGAAATATTTAAATTACTATCATAGTAAATTTGCTGGCTATTGTTATTATTACTAAAAGTGTTAATTTTTTTTTATTAATTTAGTTTTTAAGTCAGAGGAAAAAGCAAATGTTATAACAATAAATATAAAAGTTTAGGTTGAGAACTACACCTAATAGCTCCGTCAAAAGTTTACTAATTACAAGGTGTGCATTAATTTGTAAATGTATAATTTTACCTGTTAATAGTTTGCAATAAATAAACAATATGACATTATATTATTATTGTTATTTAATACTATGTATTAAATAGATAAATGTAGGTCAGCAGTATTGTGATCCTGATCCTGCGATATCCAAGTCAGCCAAGTCTCTTTTAAATCTGCACAATATCGTACCTTGGAAAGTTAATTTAAAATATGAACTAGTTCATAACTCATAGATATTGAACTAAATACCCGATTCTATAATTTTCTCTAAATTAACAGTCTTCGTTCAAGTTAATTTGTTTCATTTTTTAATTTCTTGATTTTCAATCAAGTAGATATGTATGGTAATACATGATGATAAATGTTTTGTTTGGAGCAGTATTATACAAATCTTAAATCATGACATATTATTATATATGCTGTGACTGGGTCCGCCGTGCACTGCTATTATAGTTATCTAGTGTCAACATTGTTAGATAGGGCCAATACTTGGGTATGTATGAGAGAAGAATAGAACTTAAAGTGTATCTTTTTCTAAAAATTATGTTATTTTTGTTGTTAAACTTATCCCTCTCTGTTATTAATTCATTTTTTTATAGACCAATGGTAAAAAATATTTTATCTCTTTATAGTCAAGGAGGGGGTTTTTGGTAGAAAATTGAATATTGTTGATACTTTGAAGGGGTAAAAGGTATAAAATTAACAATACTATCTAAATAATCAGGAAAAAGAAAGAAATTGGGAAATTTTATGCAAAACCAGATTTTGATGACATCGTCTTTGTTCTTAATTTTCAACTTAAAAATCAATAATTATATTATTATATTTTTACTTATCACCAAATATTTAAATATTAATATTTTAAAAGCGATCAATATTTCTTTTTCTTTACATACAAGTATTGAAATAATAATATTGTCATATTTTACAAAAAAAACTACCGATGTAGGGGCATGGTACCTTTACCCCCTGGCTACGCCACTGAAAGAGGCCTAGAACAATAATTTTTCCACTGCTGCAGTACACACATGCACTATTATATAAATGTACCTCCGATATAATACGTAATACTTATGTATAGAAATATACCCATCTCTATGACTATATACCATATAGTCATGGCCTCATGGGTATACCGCGGTGTAATTACTAATTTGTATAAGGTATATTATAACTACGGTTTGTTTTAAACTTCCAAAGATATAATTTTATTATAGGTAGAGCCGTATAGGTACACAATAAAATTATTCATATATAAGAACACAGAGCAAATAGTACCACGCGCTTAATGTTTTCAAATAATTGTTTGAAGGACGTTTTAAATTTGAAATTCTGTTTCATTATATAACAAGTTAAAAATTTGAATAATATTAATATATTTTATGTCTATGTAATATAGCTTTATCATGTATCAAACCTTCTAAAAAATGTATAAATAAATATGTTTATAGACACGTTGAGTAAAATTTAAACTTAAATTCAATATGTATGAAGTTATTTAGGCATCTTAAATATAAAACCAAGGTAAAAGTATAAAAAATAATTATTTTTTAAAATTCTAATTTATTACTAAAAAAATAACTGTCGACTCAAATTTATTGCAATGAACCGGATCTTATTAAATCTTATCCATCCGTAATAAAAGTTTAAAATAAACCTATGGGTACTTCAATATTCAATTTACATCATCACTCAGTAGACACTCACTACTAACACTTTATATTTGTTCGAATAGCTTGAGCCAACGCAGAAGTGTATAGATGCAATGTGTGCATTATACATTTTACATGGACTTCACTGGTATCACTAGTATTACAATATCCACTGTCCAGTGACTACTGGTACATAGGTACGTACATATATAAATTGGAGAATTTGGAGGGACCAATTGACCCCCCCCCCTCGTTTATTATCCTTTCTACCTAAAAGTATGATTATTCCTCCTCGCTAAAATTAAAACTTTTACTTAAGTGTAAGTATTGATGTTTTTTGGGCGTTTATAATCATAAAATAATCATTACTAAGTATCGATTTCTTGATTATTAATTATTACTCATTACTATTATATTATTTAGTACTTATTGAATAATCGAGGAATTATAAATTCCACCATAGGTACTAACCACCCACCGCGCACCGGTTACCAGTGTCAACTGTCAAGTACTCCAAACTTACGAATGTCTAGAACGTTATTTATTCACCAATGCACTGCACATTATTGTAAATTAAATTCTTACATTATTATTAGATTCTATAGTCTATACTAGTTGTTAGTACTTGTCACCGATCATTTATATTTAAATATCTTCCTCCCACTTGTGGATTGTGCGTCAAGTATGTACCATTTGTGGATCATATTGATATTATACATATTACAATTTATAAGCACTATTTTAATTTTTAATACATACAACATACTTACATACATATAAATCAAGATAAATGGTCATAATACAGTTAAATACACATAATATATCTACGATTTTACGTAAGCATAATACATTTAGCGTATTATGCTTATGCTACAGCTTAAGCATGTTTCATTTAAGTGAGCTTATATTTTAGCTGAATGAGGTTTTTATCCATTAATACAATATTACAATTTTATGTAAGTATATAAATATACGTACCTATAATAATATAATAATTCTGTGATATATATAAGGTACTTACTATAATATTTATAAGACTGCTTTGGGTTGTGGGAGGAGGTTGGGTGTTTTGATTCTTTTTAGAATTAAAAAAATAATTATGGATAGTCATATACTTTTTATATACCTATTACCTACACCCTAAAAAATACATATTGAAACAATGAATACGACTATTTGTTTCTGTTTTTTGTGATATAATATATAAATATGCAATACAATAATCATATTATATATTATAAATATCATCTGGCATTAAGTCGTATTTTGAACAAAATACAAAATGCAGATGAAGTATACGTTTTTAATAGGTAAAATAAAATAGGTATCTAACTATACCTAGTATACCTATTAGCTAGTAGATAGTTACGTTTTAAGACTATAGCTATAAAAATAATAATAATAATAACCTATAATTTATAAACATAATATGAAACCTATATCTATATGTATATTAATATTAACTCCAATGACCAATATTAATTATTAATGATTAAAGGATTTATAAATTGTGATATCCATACCGTAGGTTCATCATTTATTGTATATTTGTATTGGACATAATGCAATGGTGTACATATTATAAACAGAGACAACAGGTATTATACTATGCCCTTTAAAATTTGAATAAATTATTCAACATTCACAAATAAATCGTTGACGACCAAAGTAAATCTAATAACCTCGAAATCTCGACGATTCACATTTATGAAAAATTAAACATTTTGATAAATATATACTTATATTTAATATTTAAACACTTAACATTGCCTGATTTAAATCAAGTATTAACTATTCAGAAAGTATATTTACAACTATATTATTACTTAAAACTAACTGTGGGTATACATTAGCTATGCTGTGTGAAATAAATGATATTTTACTAGTAAGTTGAAATAAATTCCAAATCGTGCATGTTCAGCTAGTATCGATAGACTATTAAATATAGATAATGAATAAAATATCCTAACCAGTATTTTTTCTTTAGATGGTAAGATTATATCTGTATATCTACATAATAATTTTACTTATTTTAGTCTTTAGTAAATGACAGATAAGTATGTTAATAATAAAACTATCTATAATAAAATTATATTATGCAGGTTGCAGGTGTGTAACAAAGTTTTGTTCTGGGTTAATTGAAACAAATTACGATTAATGATAACTTTTTGTACAAGTTATAATACTAAACTGTGTGTATCTTGAATCACGATGCAAACTTGTTATGAAAAAAAAATATTTCCCAAAAACCAGACGGCACATAAAACCTTTGTGTAGTTTTGTTAACACGTGGGGGTCAGGTGTTTAGACGTAATGAAGGTATATTTTTCACCCAAGCCGATTGTACTGTTTTGGGTACCCGTGGAATTGTCACCCGCACTTTCACCTTCGAAATATTTTATGTAACATACACTATACAGCCATCGAGTGACAGTTCTAAAACCAGCTAGGCATTAAAATTATTTTTTTAATCATCTACTCCACTGTTTTTTGTTTGTCTATTTACGGAACGCATTAAAAGTCTACAAAAAATTGTTGTTAAGTACTAACCTACAATTTATTATTTATTAATATTATCATGCATATTACATCAGTTATTATAATATTAAGTTGCGTAATGTGTGTAGTGTGTACCATATGGTTGTGTGAGTTTATAATCCTGAAAAATAGCTAACAATAAGTACATAATATATCCATTACTAATTGTATTATATGAAAGATGTTTGGGTATTTTGTTTTTTTCGAAAATAAATTGTACCGTTTTCTGTAATAATGAAATAATATACTTCGTCTAAAGATACATGTTTTTA